CAGATCTACCCTTAACTTGTATGACGACAAGTGGCAAAGCTTTGAGAAATATGCATCGAGGAAAGGTTTCACAGCAATGAAAGCAACACATCCTCAAGTGGCAGAATATCTTTGTCATCTCAGACAAATAAAGAGATTAAAAGGTTCTACACTATCTACATACCTAGCGGCCCTAAGTTCAGTTATCACCATGAAGACAGGTGTTAAACTGACTAAAGTGCCAGAGTTACTGGCCTTACTACGCTCTTTTAAGCTTGAAGACCAACAAAAGAAATTTAAAGCGCCGGCTTGGGATCTCAACGTAATGTTACAGCATCTCACCAGTGATGCGTACGAACCACTAGAGAGAACATCTTACGAGTTTCTTTCACAGAAAACGCTATTTCTGAGCGCCTTGGCAACAGCAGCGCGGATGTCAGAAATACATGCCTGGACTTCGAACGAATACGTTTTGATACACATCACAACATAGTTCATCTGGGATTGAGATGGGATTTCATAGCTAAGAATCAACTGCCAGGTCAACCAGACAGACAATTCCACATCCCAGCATTATCTACAATCCTTGGGCCACAGGATATACAGGACCTATCCTTATGCCCAGTCAGAGCAATGAAAATATATCTACAAAAGTCTAAAACCAGGAGACGAAAATTCAAACGCCTTTTCATCCCCATATCGTCGGAGACACCCACAGAGATCTCACGTACTACAATATCAGTTTGGATGAGAGCAGTCATACTTCGAGCCTACAAGGCAGCAGGACTTGAGCCTCCACGAGCCTCCAATCCTCATGAAGTTAGAGCATTGGCATCTACACTTGCTCTACATGGAAACTGCTCAATATCCACTATCATGGAAGGGTGTTTTTGGAAATCGGAGACAGTATTTGCTAACCACTACCTCAGAGATATCGCTACCGAGGACGTCTCCGGTATTCACCAGTTTGGGCCTCTGGTTGTAGCACAACAACTGACGGTCCCGCAAAGGCGCTGAGATGTATCTCGCCCTTTTATCGCATGTCTTGCAAAGCTCATACCCCAAGGAATAGAGCTTATAGTCAATGTACACGTCTAGAACAGACTAGCATGAATATTAGACCCCGTACTTGTAAGGAATTACTGGTACACGGATAGGGTCACTGCTCCACTTGATACGAACATCAAGAGTTGGAGTTGCTTAAATCCACACGTATGTCTACAGAAGACAGAATTGATAAGTTATGGTCCCCCCAAATTCACCAGAAAATGTTCGACATGTGGATCAGCAGCAGTTCCCATGGGGGTAAATAGGACGTAAATTCATCAGTAGGAATCCAGAAGTGGCCTGACCCACCACCAGCTCTGTTGGATTCTACAAGCAATAAGTATGAGTCAGGATAAGGAAAAATATGTAATTTTCTGAATAAAATTGATATTTTATACTTATCCTGACTCATGAGGTGAGAACTCCCAACCTCCCCTCAAGGCACTCTGGATTTCCCAGTAAATCCGTGTGTCGGGCTGTGAAATACGGAGAGAGTGAAGAGCATGGGAGACAGGTGGCGCCGTTTTCCCGTCAAAACCTTGGGAAGGGAGATGACTCCTGGTAAGTGATTTTACGTCCGCTTTTTTGAAGGGAGCTTCAAAAGGGGATTCAAGTGTTCCACTAGCATTCGGAAGGAAAAGGAGACGAGCAATAAGCATGAGTCAGGATCAGTATAAAGTATCAATTTTATTCAGAAAATTACATTTTCAGAAATGTCACAGAGTCTTTAACACTGGTAATGGATAATTTGAGATTGAAAGATAATGGTTACAGAAAATTCCTATTATTTTGTGTTCATTCAGTATAAGGCAATAAGTTGTTATGTCGTATATTTCCTTGGCCAATAAATGGTGTGCATCATGTAATTTCAAGTCGCCCAAATGAACAAGTCTTTAATATCCCAAGGGAAATTTGGTGCACATTATGTACATTTTTCTAGTGTTTACAATCTTAAAGCATGTCTGTATAACATATTTTGAACTAATCCTGCACTACTTACTTCCTGCACTTATTGCTTACGACTCAAAAATCATGGCTTGCCAGATGATGTTAAAAGATGTAGAACTGCAATCACTTCCTGGTCTCGGATGCTACTCGTCTGCGCATGCGTCACTGGGAGGTGACGTCAGCCAATTTAAGATTATTGCTTTTCGCACACCTCGCTGTGGTTTGCCAGCTGATCCTTGTATCCTACAGGATCTTTGTTTGTAGTGCCTGACTAGGAAGCGCCTGGTCCAGACATATTGAGGCAGGGGTTTCGGCTCCCCCTCCTCACCTCTGACTGTTCCCGCAACAGCACAGTCACTCTCAGTTCAACACGACCTTCTAGTGGAGAACATAGATATTCTGACAGAGAGCTGTCGAATTATTCCCACAACCCGTCACAACGTCAGGGTTTCATTCTCCGATATCCTTAGTGCCGAAGAAAGGGTCCGAGAAACTGAGCATGATCCACAATCTGTCATATTTCAACGAGACCTACCTGGAAGTCTTCCACACTTTCGAAAGACGTCCCTCGAATACCTCAAATTTATGATATGAGTCAACGACTTCCTCATCAGCTCGGACCTACAGGACACATACCTCCATGTTCTATTACGCTCCAGCGACAGGAAGTACCTGTGCTTTAATTTCAACAATCAATATTTCCAATGGGCTGTCCTCCCATTGGTGGACTCACCCATCAAATGTCTGAGGAGGAGTCTCTTCGACAGAGCGAGCGCAGGATTACCAACTGTTCGTGGATGCCTCCATGCAAGTTTAGGGCGCTCATTTACAAGATCAGACAGCTGCCGGTCTTTGGTCAAGCCATCAGCAAAGTTGGCACATCAACAGTTTGGAGCTGGAGGCTGTGATCCTCGGTATCCGTCACTGGGCGCAACGGCTACGAGGAACTTGTCTTCTGGTAGCCATGGACAACACGACGGTGATGTTGTTCATACGGAAACAAGGGTCGACCCGGTCACAGTTTCTCCTCGACCAGACATTTCATCTGTTTCAACTGGTCGACGACCTACACATTCTTTTGAGAGTTTGGCACATTCCTGGGTGCCGAAAAATATTAGCAGACGCTCTGTGAAGGCCCAAAAGAGTTGCTTCAAGGAAATGGATGCTACACAAGTCACGCCCTGGGTTCTCCAAACATAAATGCCAAAATGCCAGAACTACAGGCCATGCTCCGTTCGTTCAAACTTGAAGACCAGAAGTTGAAGTTATGACCACCTGCATGGAATCGCAACACAGTCTTAGACCATCTCCGTGGTGCACCTTATGAACCACTTGAGAATGCTTCCCTTGCTGATTTGTCCAGGAAAACAGCTTTCCTTTTGTCTCTAGCGACAGCGGCTAGAGTGAGTGGGATTCAAGCCCTCGACCTGACTAGTTATGTTTGAACGTCGCCGTCATGGTTCTGTACTTATGGGACTTTGTTTGGATTTCATACCTAAAAATCAAGTACCAGGACAACCGGATCGACAGTTTTCTATTCTGCCATTATCATCTGTTATTATGTCCGGTTCGTGCGCTCAAAACTTACATTGACCTCACCAAAGGCATCCGAGGTGTCTGGAAATGGTTGTTTCTTCCCCTTTCCCGGGTCAGCAAAAACACAATTGCCTTATGGTTGACAACTACCATTCTTCAGGGGTATAAGGCGGCTGGGCTGGCCCCCCCTACATCCGCCCATCCACACAAGATTCGAGCACTTGCTTCTACTATGGCGCTTCACAGTAATTGCATTGTGTTGTCCATAATGCAAGGTTGTTTCTGGAGGTCGGACACAGTCTTCGCCAGTCATTATCTACGCGACATGGCTGTCAAGGACATCAATAATGTACACAGCTTCGCCAGTCATTATCTAGGCGACATGGCTGTCCAGGACATCAATAATGTACACAGCTTCGGACCATTGGTATTGGCCCAACAACTCACCATCCCCCGAAGAAAATGACTCTTTTATCTTGTGTTTTCCTTCCCACGGACCACCATGTGGGAAAAGAGTTGGAAACAACTAGGAATGTCAGTTAAGGAGAAACACTTGTGAACTCAAGTCCTTGCTGTTTAGTGCATGTCCTAAAGCTTCTAACACTTTAAAACTGTGTGGTTCTTTTTTCGTTTAAGACTCAGTCTTATTTGCGAATTACCACTGCTTGATCGTCACTCTCTTTACGCTCTTTCTTTCAGGCGCACTACCAACGTCTACATACACTGCACACAGGATATACAGATTGAGCTGGCTTTTGTTACATAAGCGAGGCAATCCCCTCAGATGACACGCCCACCCTCTTGCCTGTCGGATAAAGTGCAGGAAGTAATTAGTGCAGGATTAGTTAAAAATTTAGTAAAAACTAAATATTTTTTTATATTTGATACTTATCCTGCACTGCTTGGGATAAGGGCCCACCCTGCGCTTTTAGCTACCTCCCCTCATTGTTTGTCATCTGTGGGATTTAAGGCAATAGTCTGAGGTGGCTGACGTCACCTTCCAGTGATGCCTGCACAGACAAGTAGCATCCGAGACCAGGAAGTGATTGCAGTTCTACGTCTTTTAACATCGTCTGGCAAGCCACGCTTTTCGAGTCGTAAGCAATAAGTGCAGGAAGTAAGTAGTGCAGGATAAGTATACAATTATAAAAAATATTTATATTTTACTAATTTTAATGGGTTCCCGAGCAGTGAAGTTGTTATCGATAAAGTTTGTCTGTTTTGTACATTGTTACAGTTGAATTGTGTTACAGCTAAACCAATGTTGCAGCTGATGGTTGCGTTACAGCTAACCATTGTTACAGCTGATGGTTGGTTACAGTTTACCATTGTAACAGTTCTTTGTTGTGTTACAACTAAGCCTTGTTACAGTTGACTGTTGTATTACACCTAACCATTGTTACTGTTGACTGTTGTGTTACAGCTAAGCCTTGTTACAGTGTACTGTTGTGTTACAGCTAACCCTTGTTTCAGTGTACTCTTGTGTTGCACCTAACCCTTGTTACAGTTGACTGTTGTATTACACCTAACCCTTGTTTCAGTTGACTGTTGTATTACACCTAACCCTTGTTACAGTTGACTGTTGTATTACACCTAACCCTTGTTACAGTTGACTGTTGTATTACACCTAACCCTTGTTACAGTTGACTGTTGTGTTACAGCTAAGCCTTGTTTCAGTGTACTCTTGTGTTGCACCTAACCACTGTTACAGCTAACCCTTGTTACAGTTTAACCCATGAAGGTCCGAAGTTAGAATGTGCCTTCAGTAACCCTTGCTTGTCGTAAAAGGCGACTAACGGGATCGGGTGGTCAGTCTCGCTGACTTGGTTGACATATGTCATTGTTTCCAAATTGCACAGATCGATGCTCATGCTGTTGATCACTGGAATGTCTGGTCCAGACTCGATTATGTACAGACCGCCGCCATATAGCTGGAATATTTCTGAGTGCAGCGTAAAACTAAACTCACTTGTTAAAGTTGACTGCTGTGTTGCACCTAACCATTGTTACAGTTGACTGTTGTGTTACAGCTAACCCTTGTTACAGTTGACTGTTGTGTTGCACCTAACCATTGTTACAGCTAACCCTTGTTACAAATGACTGTTGTGTTGCACCTAACCACTGTTACAGTTGACTTTTGTGTTGCAGCTAACCATTGTTACAGTTGACTGTTGTGTTACAGCTAACCCTTGTTACAGTTGACTGTTGTGTTGCAGCTAACCATTGTTACAGGTGACTGTTGTGTTGCACGTAACCATTGTAACACCTAACCCTTGTTACAGTTGACTGTTGTGTTGCACCTAACCATTGTTACAGTTGACTGTTGTGTTGCACCTAACCATTGTTACAGCTAACCTTTGTTACAGTTGACTGTTGTGTTGCACCTAACCATTGTTACAGCTAACCCTTGTTACACCTAACCATTGTTACAGCTTACCAATATTACAGCTAACCTTTGTTACAGTTGACTGTTGTATTACACCTAACCATTGTTACAGATGACTCTTGTGTTACACCTAACCATTGTTACAGCTTACTAATTTTACAGCTAACCATTGTAACAGTTGACTGTTGTATTACACCTAACCGTTGTTACAGATGACTGTTGTGTTACAGCGAGGCAACACCGCTCTGCATCATGCAGCTATGAAGGGGCATGCTGACATCATGGAGACACTTATTAAGGCAGGAATACAGCTTGATGCTCAGGACAAAGTAAGTCATATTCAGGCCATGTCTCTCCTGAATTCCATTCCAATGTAAAAGTCTGCTACCTCACTGTCAGCTCAAGTGTTTCATCTTGCCTTAAATTGTCTTAATTGTTGACGGTGGTAGGTCACCTTACCTTACACTGACTAACTGATGACAGTTGAAGGTCACCTTACCTTACACTGACTAACTGATGATGGTGGCAGGTCACCTTACCTTACACCGGCTAACTGATGACAGTTGTAGGTCACCTTACCTTACACTGACTAACTGATGACGGTGGCAGGTCACCTTACCTTACACTGACTAACTGATGACAGTTGAAGGTCACCTTACCTTACACTGACTAACTGATGACAGTGGCAGGTCACCTTACCTTACACTGACTAACTGATGATGGTGGCAGGTCACCTTACCTTACACCGGCTAACTGATGACAGTTGTAGGTCACCTTACCTTACACTGACTAACTGATGACGGTGGCAGGTCACCTTACCTTACACTGACTAACTGATGATGGTTGTAGGTCACCTTACCTTACACCTACTGACTGATGACGGTGGCAGGTCACCTTACCTTACACTGACTGACTGATGACGGTGGCAGGTCACCTTACCTTACACTGACTAACTGATGACGGTGGTAGGTCACCTTACCTTACACTGACTAACTGATGATGGTGGTAGGTCACCTTACCTTACACTGACTAACTGATGACAGTTGTAGGTCACCTTACCTTACACCGACTAACTGATGACAGTTGTAGGTCACCTTACCTTACACTAACTGACTAACTGATGACGGTGGTAGGTCACCTTACCTTACACTGACTAACTGATGACAGTTTTAGGTCACTTACCTTACACTGACTAACTGATGACAGTGGCAGGATACCTTACCTTACACTGACTAACTGATGACGGTGGTAGGTCACCTTACTTTACACTGACTAACTGATGACAGGTGTATGTCACCTTACCTTACACTGACTAACTACTGACTACACCTACTGACTAATGTCAGTGGTAGGTCACCTTACCTTACACTGACTAACTGATGACGGTGGTAGGTCACCTTACCTTACACTGACTAACTGATGATGGTTGTAGGTCACCTTACCTTACACCTACTGACTGATGACAGTGGCAGGTCACCTTACCTTACACTTACTGACTGATGATGGTGGTAGGTCACCTTACCTTACACTGACTAACTGATGACAGTTGTAGGTCACCTTACCTTACACTGACTAACTGATGACAGTTGTAGGTCACCTTACCTTACGCTGACTAACTGATGACGGTGGTAGGTCACCTTACCTTACACTGACTAACTGATGACAGTTTTAGGTCACTTACCTTACACTGACTAACTGATGACAGTGGCAGGATACCTTACCTTACACTGACTAACTGATGACGGTGGTAGGTCACCTTACCTTACACTGACTAACTGATGACAGGTGTATGTCACCTTACCTTACACCTACTGACTAATGTCAGTGGTAGGTCACCTTACCTTACACTGACTAACTGATGACGGTGGTAGGTCACCTTACCTTACACTGACTAACTGATGACGGTGGTAGGTCACCTTACCTTACACCGACTAACTGATGACGGTGGTAGGTCACCTTACCTTACACTGACTAACTGATGAATGGTGTTAGGTCACCTTACCTTACACTGACTAACTGATGACAGTGGTATGTCACCTTACTTTACACCTACTGACTAATGTCAGTGGTATGTCACCTTAATGGGATCTATTGATGACTGTGGATGTTACAGTGACTTCTTGATAACAGTGAGATGTCTCTTTACGTTGAAATACAGATGGCAATTGTACTTCATCATATATTTTAATATGTTCATGGTTGGTGTAAGACAATGTTTACTCTCTTCATCTGTCTTCTTGAGAACGGTTGGACAGCGCTGCACAACACCTGTTATTGGAACTACCCTGAAGCTGTCAAGGTGCTGATTGAGCATGGATGCGATATCCATCTGAGAAATAAGGTTAGGCGTTTTTAACTACCACTTTAGTATTTCCAGTTGACTAACAGCTTGGTCCCACCACTATGTATATACAGATCAACTCAGACCAAATGTAACAGTTCACTCATCCAAAATGTCTCGATGTTTTGGTGTGAGATTTTCTGTTCAGGGGTTAAATGCAGTTGTTTGGTTGACGTTTTGTGTCTTTGCCACTGTAAGCATGGCAGTGCAGTTTAAAATCACAATTCATTGACTATTGTAATTAAAAACATTTCCTGTTATATGTCACAAGACAATTCTTATAAATAGATCCCTCTAACACTTACTTGCCTTTTTACTGAAACCTGTCGCTGAATCCACCAGTTTTTGCTTGAATAATTGTCTAAGGATTTGTGTTGTCTTTCGTCCTCTGAGCACTATTTGCAAGAGTTATTCTATTTTCTTCCTTTAAAAATGGATACATCTGAGGGCAATAAATATATCTGTTTCTCTCTTTCGGACACGCAAAATTGTTCAGTATGTAGGAAGCTCATGTTCTTCGAGGATCTACCAGGTGATGCCTGGGAATCAGAAGATACACCATGCTCCTTGTTTCCCACTACCAGACATGTCAGCCCCTGTCACTGTCAGCATTTGAGAAGTACACATTAGTAAGGGCAAGAAACTGCAAGAAAAGAAGATGGCTAAGAAGCTGCATACCAAAACACCGGCCAAAGTACCCACTCAACTGAAACCATCATACTCATAGAGCTAGGCATCCTCCATGTCCCATCTGATCTAGATATGCTCCATCCTACTTCAGAGGCAGTTGCACAATCTTTCAGACCTTTGACATCTGCTCTCTATGGCTACAAGTGGTGTCAATTCCAGCAGTGGAGAATAAGATACAGAACTGCCAATATATAACTATACCTATGATTGCGGAATTTCTACAACCAGTACATCTTAGAAATGACTTACATCTTCTGGGATTGACCCTATGCTTTGCCAGCAGGCAATGCTCTTTTGAACTGGAGAATATCCACAAACAATGAATGACTATGAAATGGGATTTGTCAGTGGTTTTATCGAAAATTTTGCACCATATGTTTGAACCCATGGACAAAGCAACACTATCCCATTTTGCTTGGAAGATTGTTTCACTTTGCCACAGCCTCAAGGGTGTTAGAGCTACATGCACTGGATGTCAGGTCCATTACATTCCCTAAGCATCCCTCCAGAGTCATGATCAGAGTATTACCCGTTTTCCTTGCCAAGAATCAGATATCTGCTGTATAGTAGGGAACTCTAGGACAACTAGTGTTTACTATCCCTTCTCTTGCTCCTAGGCTAGACAGGGACTTTCATGCCCATTTAGAGCTCTAAAGTGGCATCTTGACAAGACAAGAGGCTTTTAGCTGAGGACATTGAAGTCTATGGATATCTTGCCAGGATCAGTCGGACACAGATTTAAAAGTACAGTTTCAGCAAGGATCAGGAAAACTATTAAGTCTGCTTATGCCATGTAGTGCAACCTCCCACTTATGGGTCATTCTGGTTACATGTGATCAGAGCCATTGCATCATCCTTAACATCATGTAAGACAGTGTCCATTAACAGATCATGTCTGCTTGTGTGGGCATCATCGACCAGCAGAGAATCTTGACTGATAGAACATGCTTGCACAACAAGCCTAACATGGAGTTGAGATTGAAAAATATGATGTGCCGTTGTGATGGATATCCAATGATCGAGGGAAAACAAAGCACCTTTGAGCAGTTGCATGTATGTATGTAACCGATAGTGACATCATCAATGACGTCATCCGAAGTACCGCTAACCGGGAGTGACATCATCAATGACATCATCCCAAGTACCGCTAACCGGAAGTGACTTCATCAATGACATCCTCCCAAGTACCTTTAACCGGGAGTGACATCATCAATGACATCATCCCAAGTACCGCTAACCGGGAGTGACATCATGAATGACATCATCCCAAGTACCGCTAACCGGGAGTGACATCATCAATGACATCATCCCAAGTACCGCTAACCGATAGTGACATCATCAATGACGTCATCCCAAGTACCGTTGACTGATAGTGACATCATCAATGACGTCATCCCAAGTACCGTTAACCGGGAGTGACATCATCAATGACATCATCCCAAGTACCGTTAACCGGGAGTGACATCATCAATTACATCATCCCAAGAACCGCTAACCGGGAGTGACATCATCAATGACGTCATCCCGAGTACCGTTGACCGGGAGTGACATCATCAATGACATCCTCCCAAGTACCGTTAACCGGGAGTGACATCATCAATGACATCATCCCAAGTACCGTTAACCGGGAGTGACATCATCAATGACGTCATCCCAAGTACCGTTAACCGGGAATGACATCATCAATGACATCATCCCAATTGCAAGTACCGCTAACCGGGAGTAACATCATCAATGACGTCATCCCAAGCACCGTTAACCGATAGTGACTTCATCAATTACATCATCCCAAGTACCGCTAACCGGGAGTAACATCATCAATGACGTCATCCCAAGCACCGTTGACCGGGAGTGACATCATCAATGACGTCATCCCAAGTACCGCTGACCGGGAGTGACATCATCAATGACATCCTCCCAAGTACCGTTAACTGGGAGTGACATCATCAATGACATCATCCCAAGTACCATTAACCGGGAGTGACATCATCAATGACGTCATCAGAACTCTCTTTGTCATCATCTGAGGTATCATTAAGTGTTCCCACAACCAAATGCAGGTCTATTTGTCTTGTCAGTAAACATCCTCATTTGTCAGTAGAATGGTTGTTTTCCTACTCCTTCAAGCCTATGCGGTATTCTGAAATCAAGTTTTACGTATGCGTAAGAGTTTTGTAGTATTATCAACAATTACAATAATTCTTAGAAGGAAGTAAGACAACACAAGATGCATTCACACTGTATATGCTTTTCCATAAAAATCATCATGACCAAAGGCCCCCACCCTGCAACCCCACAGACATCCCACCCTGCCATAGATTATGAACAGTCCCTAAGTTCACCCTTGAACATATGTATAGCATCAACTGTGTCCATCTGCAGGATAACCGAACAGCTCTTCATGAAACAGCACGTTCAAAGTGCACTGATGGCCGCAAATTGAGTGCTATCACCCAGCAGCTTGTGGCAGCAGGAAGTGATGTCAACGCAAAGGGCAGTGACCTTGGGGAGGTACATGTCTTCTATGTAGTTAATATACAGATCATAATAAGAATGTATGCCGCACTCAGCAATATTTCAGCTATATGGTGGTGGTCTGTAAATAATCGAGTCTTGACCAGACAATCCAGTGATCAACAGCATGAGCATCGATCTGTGCAATTGGGATACAATGACATGAGGGTCAACCAAGTCAGTGAGCCTGACCACCCAATCCTGTTAGTCACCTCTGACGACAAGCATGGATTACTGAAGATCAATTCGAACCTGGATCTTCACATGTCAGGTATACAGGGATGGGGATGTACATATATAGTATGAGCAGAAATTATTGAGAATTTTAGGAATATGTTTAATTGGATTTCTAGTATAAACAACCTTGACCAGCTATCAAGTGCTTGGTTTCATTCAAGGGAGACAACTCCGTTAATCCTTTTTCATTAGTTTGTGAAGAGTTATCCTCCTTTTTTTACTTGCTAGCGGACTACATTTTCAGTGATCCTCAGTATGGATGATTTAGAGAAGAGGAAGTTGATTTTAGAGTATTATAACAAGGACATCAGATCAGCTAAAGTGATTTCAAGTAGAACAGGCATCCCTTTGTCGACTGTTTATCGTGTTTTGAAAAATATTGCAAATGGATATGGCATTGAGCACCAGGGAGGCGCAGGTAGGCCAGAAAATTGACTGTCGGTGACAGGAGGCGGCTTGGTATTCTTGTTTCTAAAACAAACGAAGGATTTTAGAAAACTTAAGGCTGGATATGATTGATAGAGGAACTGTGGCTGTCTGTAAGGAGACAATTAGAACTGAGCTGCATACAATAGGTTGGCAGAAAAGTCGAGGAATTCCATCACCGATCATGAAACCTCAACAAAAGGAGCGAAGGTTGAACTGGTGCTTACAGCATAGAAATTTTAACTGAGACAATGTGATTTTCTCAGATGAAAGTTCTGTGTGGCTGTTTCCTAATACACTGAAATTCTGGACCTAACAAACTGAAAAACCTTCACATCAGCGCCCAAAGTACAGTCCGAAATTTAACGTGTGGGGTGGCATATCTGTGTTAGGGGCAACGCCCCTCTGTGTATTGAAGGGAATATGGGATGTAGATTTGAAGTGATGTATGTGTACAGTAATGTAAGCATAAGGGGATGTAGGAATGCAAAGAAGTGCTTACACAAGGATATAGATATATGGGGACATTATTTTTTTCCAAACAATTTTGTATCCACCAAATTCATGTCTTTAAGGTCAAAATATACTTTCAGGTCATCAAGTCGAGCATTTTTTCTTCAGGTTGATTTCACTGCACTAATGTTTGCTTCCTACCATGGGCACCCGGAAGTGGCCACAGTGCTGATAGAGACAGGGTGTCACCTCAATGACTGTGGCTCAGTGAGTACCATGGAGTAGCACCACCATATCACAGAGACCTACATCACATTAGAGAACCACCTACTCACCCCATCACACAGATATTTACATCAGTTTAAGGAGGACCAACTACTCACCCCATCACACACAGACTTACATTAGTTTAGAGGGGACCACCTTGTCACCCCATCACATGATGATTTACATTACTTTAGGGATTACCACCTGGTCACCCCCTCACACAGAGATTACCATTAATTTAGGGAGGACCACCTGGTCACCCCAGCACACAGAGATTTACATTACTTTAGGGAGGACCACCTGGTCACCCCAGCACACAGAGATTTACATTACTTTAGGGAGGACCACCTGGTCACCTCAGCACACAGAGATTACCATTAATTTAGGGAGTACCACCTGGTCACCCCAGCACACAGAGATTTACATTACTTTAGGGAGGACCACCTGGTCACCCCAGCACACAGAGATTTACACTACTTTAGGGAGGACCACTCAGTCACCCAATCACACAGAGATTCACATTAATTTAGACGGGACCACCTGGTCACGCCATCACACAGAGATTCACATTAATTTAGACGGGACCACCTGGTCACGCCATCACACAGAGATTTACATTAGTTTAGGGAGTACCACCTGGTCACCCCAGCACACAGGGATTTACATTAGTTTAGGGAGGACCACCTGGTCACCCCAGCACACAGGGATTAACACTACTTTAGGGAGGACCACTAAGTCACTCCATTACACAGAGATTTACATTAGTATAGAGGGGACCACCTGGTCACCCCATCACATAGAGATTTACATTACTTTAGGGATTACCACCTGGTCACCCCCTCACACAGTGATTTCCATTAGTTTAGGGAGGACCACCTGGTCACCGCATCACATGATGATTTACATTAGTTTAGGGAGGACCACCTGGTCACCCCATCACACAGACATTTATATAAGTTTAGGGAGGACCACTGAGTCACCACATCACACAGAGATTTCCATTAGTTTAGAGGGGACCACCTGGTCACCGCAGCACACAGAGATTTACATTACTTTAGGGAGGAGCACCTGATCACCCCAGCACACAGAGATTAACATTACTTTAGGGATTACCACCTGATCACCCCCTCACACAGAGATTTCCATTAGTTCAGGGAGGACCATCTGGTCACCGCATCACATGATGATTTACATTAGTTTAGGGAGGACCACCTGGTCACCCCATCACACAAAGATTTACATTAGTTTAGGGATTACCACCTGGTCACCCCCTCACACAGAGATTTACATTAGTTTAGGGAGGACCACTTGGTCAACCTCGCACACAGGGATTTACATTAGTTTAGGGATGACCAACTAGTCAACCCATCACACACAGATTTACATTTGTTTAGGAAAGACCACCTGGTCACCCTATCACACAGAGATGTATATTAGATTATGGAGGACCACCTGGTCCCCGCATCACACAGAGATTTACATTATTTTAGTGGGGACCACCTTGTCGCCCCATCACACAGAGATTTACACTACTTTAGGGATTACCACCTGGTCACCTCATCCCGCAGAGATTTACATTAGTTTAGAGGGGACCACCTGGTCACCCCATCCCGCAGAGATTTACATTAGTTTAGGGAGGACCACTCAGCCACTCCATCACACAGAGATTTTCACTATTTTAGGGATTTCCACCTGGTCACCCCATCACACAGAGATTTACATTAGTTTAGGGAGGACCACTCAGCCACTCCATCACACAGAGATTTACACTACTTTAGGGATTATCACCTGGTCACCTCATCACACAGAGATTTACATTAGTTTAGAGGGGACCACCTGGTCTCCCCATCACACAGAGATTTACATTAGTTTAGGGAGGACCACTCAGTCACTCCATCACACAGAGATTTACACTACTTTAGGGATTACCACCTGGTCACCTCATCCCGCAGTGATTTACATTAGTTTAGAGGGGACCACCTGGTCTCCCCATCACACAGAGATTTACATTAGTTTAGGGAGGACCACTCAGTCACTCCATCACACAGAGATTTGCATTACTTTACAGAGCACCACCTAGTCAACCATCACACAGAGATTTACATAACATTAGAGAGACTAATATCAACCTAAGCTAAAGAGATCTAGCTTACATTAGAGAGACCCTCTTTATCTCTCAACACAACAGACATCCTGTGTCCATTTGAGGGGACCACCTAGCTACCCCTTACTACAAAGATTTAGATTATGTTAGAAAGGACAGTCCTCTAACTCCATATAATAGCATCCAACTTCACATGAGAACATACTTTTAGTGATTTCTATGGTGTGCAATGCCATGACTTCAGGTAAAACTGACAGTCTACCAAACCACAAGGGCGAGGGGACCATCAAGCCACTGGAAACCAAAATTGCTTAAGAGGGGCTCAGTCTTTAACTGTACAAAACAGAGACCTACATTACATATGAGAGGACAACAGAGATTGTACAACAAGATTTCTTGATGGTCTGCATTGTGTAGGTCAGAGAGATCTCACATGACTGTTGACTGACTGATTGAATCTCTGTTTAGGAATGTCTCCTCTAACATAGATTCTGAGTATCAAGGAGACTGTATGACACTGTTATAACATGTACTTTAGAACTGGTGGACATCACTTCACTGGGCAGCTGACCGTGGTCAAGAGGAATTAGTGTACATCCTACTTGAGGCAGGGGCTGACCCCACGAGGAAAGGAACTGTAAGTATCTCTTCTGCAGAAAGGAACTGCAAGTACCTCTACTGAAGCTATGAACAAAGGAAGCGTAAGTATCTCTTCTGCAGAAAGGAACTGCAAGTATCTCTACTGAAGCTATGAACAAAGGAAGCGTAAGTATCTCTTCTGCAGAAAGGAACTGCAAGTATCTCTACTGAAGCAAAGGAAGCGTAAGTATCTCTTCTGCAGAAAGGAACTGCAAGTACCTCTAGTGAAGGTATGAACAAAGGAAGCGTAAGTACCGCTACCAAACCTAAGAAAAAAGAAACAATAAGTGCGACATCAAACCACATGAAAAAAGGAACAGAAGGTCTAACCCAAATCAACTGTCATCCAATAATAAATGCCACCATAAAGAATGGAAATAATAGTCTTGTATATATAATCCTGACCCATACCCCTATTATCTAGTGCTGACTGTTTCTACAGTCACCTTCACACTGCCCAGTGTGCGAAATAGCCACTGGCCTGCTAGCCTGTGGCTTGTAAAAATCCAGTCAGGCCAGTAAATCTCCAGTCACTGGCCCGACCGGCTAGTGAAGGTTGGAGTCATTTTGCAAATATATCACTCACTCCAACTTGTGAAGTTATAATACACTTTTAAATCATGCAAGATTATGGCCTCATAAATATGTTCATCATATTAGCAGATTAATGCTGAAAGCCCTGTCATGCCAACAATATCTTATTCTCATCTATTTTTGCAATCTTTTGCTTCTTTGAGAGGCATTTTAGAAGTTGTATAGATGAAGGAAAACCAAGTTCTATGGATAGTCAACTTCTTTATTGCAATGAGTGCGACATTTCGGAGTAGGCTGACCTACTCTCTTCAACTCACAATTACCATCTCAGTGTAAATCAACTCATTCTGTATATCGTTTTAATCACTTTCACTCTGTACATCAACCTACTCTGCTCAAATCACTAATTAGCAATCCAATGTATATCAACCATGTCAATTGTATCTACACACTATGCAGCTATGTATATATTCTCCATGTTACAACTCTTTGTATCACTTGCTTGATAACGGTGTTAGTACCTACACCGAAACGTCGCACCCATTGCAATAAAGAAGTTGACTGTCCATAGAACTTGGTTTTCCTTAATCTTTTGCTTAGTTTCTTCATTCAAATTTCGGGTTAGTGAATTATTTATAGGCTAGTAACTTTCAGGCATAGATAGCCCAACTGGCTAGCGAAATTTGGAAACTATTTCGCACACTGACATTGCCCATGTACCTAGTGGCTGCTGTGAGTCTACAAGTAACCCTGATGCTATCCAATGTACCTAGTGACTTCTGTGAGTCTACAAGTAACTCTGATGCTATCCCATGTACCTAGTGACTTCTGTGAGTTAACAAGTAACCCTGATGCTATCCCATGTACCTAGTGACTTGTGTGAGTCTACAAGTAACTCTGATGCTATCCCATGTACCTAGTGACTTCTGTGAGTCTACAAGTAACCCTGATGCTATCCCATGTACCTAGTGACTTCTGTGCGTTTACAAGTAACCCTGATGCTATCCCATGTACCTAGTGACTTGTGTGAGTCTACAAGTAACCCTGATGCTATCCCATGTACCTAGTGACTTGTGTGAGTTTACAAGTAACCCTGATGCTATCCCATGTACCTAGTGACTTCTGTGAGTCTACAAGTAACTCTGATGCTATCCCATGTACCTAGTGACTTCTGTGAGTTAACAAGTAACCCTGATGCTATCCCATGTACCTAGTGACTTGTGTGAGTCTACAAGTAACTCTGATGCTATCCCATGTACCTAGTGACTTCTGTGAGTCTACAAGTAACCCTGATGCTATCCCATGTACCTAGTGACTTCTGTGCGTTTACAAGTAACCCTGATGCTATCCCATGTACCTAGTGACTTGTGTGAGTCTACAAGTAACCCTGATGCTATCCCATGTACCTAGTGACTTGTGTGAGTTTACAAGTAACCCTGATGCTATCCCATTTACCTAGTGACTTCTGTGAGTTTACAAGTAACCCTGATGCTATCCCATGTACCTAGTGACTTGTGTGAGTCTACAAGTAACCCTGATACTATCCCATGTACCTAGTGACTTGTGTGAGTTTACAAGTAACCCTGATGCTATCCCATGTACCTAGTGACTTCTGTGCGTTTACAAGTAACCCTGATGCTATCCCATGTACCTAGTGACTTGTGTGAGTCTACAAGTAACCCTGATGCTATCCCATGTACCTAGTGACTTGTGTGAGTTTACAAGTAACCCTGATGCTATCCCATGTACCTAGTGACTTCTGTGCGTTTACAAGTAACCCTGATGCTATCCCATGTACCTAGTGACTTCTGTGAGTCTACAAGTAACCCTGATGCTATCCCATATACCTAGTGACTTGTGTGAGTCTACAAGTAACCCTGATGCTAGTGACCTACAAGTAACCCTGATACTATCCCATGTACCTAGTGACTTCTGTAAAGCGTAAACAAGTAACCCTGATGCTATCCCATGTACCTAGTGACTTCTGTGCGTTTACAAGTAACTCTGATGCTATCCCATGTACCTAGTGACTTCTGTGAGTTTACAAGTAACTCTGATGCTATCCCATGTACCTAGTGACTTCTGTGAGTCTACAAGTAACCCTGATGCTATCCCATGTACCTAGTGACTTGTGTGAGTCTACAAGTAACCCTGATGCTATCCCATGTACCTAGTGACTTGTGTGAGTCTACAAGTAACCCTGATACTATCCCATGTACCTAGTGACTTCTGTGCGTTAACAAGTAACCCTGATGCTATCCCATGTCCCTAGTGACTTCTGTGCGTTTACAAGTAACCCTGATGCTGTCCCATGTACTTAGTGGCTGTTGTCAGCTTCAAGCGACCCTAAAGCTAACTACTGTATCCAGTGCCTGCAACTGTCAGCAGTGACCCTAACCACTATTTCCAGTTCCTATTGTAAGTCTAGCAGTCACCACTCTAACTTCTGTATCCATTGCCTGCAATAAGTCAGCAGTGACTCTGACCCTGACCCTGACTTTGACCCTGACCACTTTTTCCAGTTCCTGTTGTAAGTCCAGCAGTGACCACTCTAACTTCTGTATCCATAGTGGGTTTTTGTGTTGTCCAGCTCAGATTGCTGTTACAAAAAATCAGTGGCAATAGATTTTATTACATTTTACATTATCAAATGATACATTGATTATGTCTGACTGTAATGTTGTTGTGCAGCGAGGAGAACTTGCCGCAGATCGCGCCAGAACTGATGACTTGAAGGAAGTTCTGAATAATGCTGCCAACATGTATGAGGAACTGAAGGCATTAGAAAAACAGGTTAGGAATTTCAGACACACCAAGGTCCAAGGTACACTTTGATCTTTCTTTACAACAAAATACACTGAAGATCTTTCACAACAAGGTACAACTCGATCTTTCTTTTACAACAAAGTACACTGAAGATCTTTTGCAACAAGCCATACTTCAAATCTTTGTCTTAATACAGTGCACAGAAATAGAAACTAAACTTGATCAGAAGACATTTGAACTACTGGGGATGAAATGTATCCTTGATCTAGATGACATGATTGAATGGAATTATACAGATACATTAAATAATTTTGAGACTCTTATGTCCATCTGGGTAGCATACAACCATCTATGTATATATATTAAAATATTGTATCACTTATTATTCAAAAAGTAAATCTTTTATTTTCCAACTCTCTCAAACCCACCAAAGACACTTTCAACACAATATTTCAAATTCAAATGGAGAAATTCACCTGAAATTGTGACAAAGGATAAAGATATGTAGCGCTAAAGATGGAGGTTCATTGTAGCAAATATACAGATGTGACACAGGAACACAGTGTCAGCAATGGACACTTATGTGTGTCATCAAAACGGAAATAATCTATTTTTTTCCTGACTCATATGTTATTGCTTATCTCCCCTTCTCTTCCAAGGTTCAGTGGAAACCTCTGTGCTATTGTTCCCGATGAACAGTTTAAAAATAGCTCACCTCCTTCGGCCTCTGCCTTTCCCACACCAGCGTCCCACATGATCAACCCCCAAGTGTCACTCTCTCCATAATCGCCTACCTGAACAGTTGGTTGGTCTCCTCTGTATCCTATTTCAAGTTACTGCTCGTTTATTTGGCATTAATATTCAAAATTTTTACTTGTCTACTGTTTATACATTAATTATACATCATATTGATGGGTCCTTTTCATTGATCTGTGGCTAAATTTACTATCATTTCTGTTTGTTGCAGGGCGGTCCTGTCAGATGAAATCGTGCCTTGTATGCACATACAGATTATCACATTTTGATCCTCACCCTGCGTGCTCCACATGTTCAGCTGTCACATGTTATGTCAACTCTAGATGTAGATATTGTGTGCATCTTTCTAACTACGAGTTTGAGAAATATCATTTATATTTAATGAGAAAAAAAATGGATAAAAAAAGGCGGGAAAGCTCAAGGGTAGCGGGGGGATATGCAACATTTACAATCAGATAATGAATTGGCTTCCATTTTTTCCCCAGGGGATATAAGCTTACCTGTATAGGTTAACTCAACCTCATTTCAGTCGGTTCTGGAGATTCTCGGGGGTTAACTACTAACAAATCAGGTTCCCTTATGCAGTTGTCCCTGGCTAAGAGAAAAGTCCCGGTGGGGACGGAGTCTGATCCCTTGGGGCTGGCGAAACTATGAAGTTGTCACAAAAAATTCATACATATCTTCTTCCAAGAAATCGTCAGCAGTAAAAAGAATGCAAGACAACCCCACTACATGCAGGCAGGCAGTACAGAGGTCATCAGACCATGAAGAGTGTAGACCGCCGCCAGTCCTGGAGCCAGAGATATTAATCACACATTTACTGCCGAGACAGTCAACTAGATAGCAGCAGAACAATTCACAGATGCAGACGTTCACGCAAGCATCACCCCAGATGTCAGCATTCGTGCAAGCATCACCCCAGATGTCAGCGTTCGGCGCAAACATCACCAAAGATGTCAGTGTTTGCGCGAGGATCACCCCAGAGTCCAGCGTTCCCACAAGGATCACACCAGATGCCAGCCTTCGCTCAAGAAAATGACCATATCTTATCAACGTCAGCGCAAGCCACTAAGTTCGCGCAAGGAATTTTCAAGAACATACATTCGGACCTTAACTTATCCCAGAGACAACCTCAGAGGTTGGCGAAAGCACAACACTCCTCACAGTCTACACAGACTCATTCCTTCACGCAAGCTCAACAAGTTGCATGCACTTTCATTCAAGCTCGACAAGTTGTGCAGCCAAGGAAACAGAGACAATGCAAGCACGCAAGCACATAACCCGATACAACAGTCATAATTGGTCGCTTCTATCACTGAACAAGTTCTCAAAGCTATAGAACAACATCAACAACATCCTCTTGTTACATCAGACATGGATAGACCTATCAGCCATTCTACACCGACACACACTTTTGACGAGGAGTTTTAGCAAGATATATCAGCGTTGCATCGTCTGACGAGACTAGTCAGGAAGAAATGGATGCTTCTATTTACGATAATGAAGATTAATTAATCTGGATCGCGGATGGGTTGGATTTCCTCACCTACTAGGAACTCTTCACTGGCGAACACATACTGCATTCAATAGGACGATATTGATACACTCACCATCCCTCCTATGAAGCTGGTATCTCAAGTTGAGGAGAAGCTAAAATTAGCGTTCGCGAAAGTAACAAAGTTACAGGGTCTGCAAACTCCTACATTCAACTTTAAGAAATTCCTGGTACATAATATGGAGGTGTTCAACAAAACTCCAGAGATTGATGAAGATTTCTCCCTGATGAGTGACTGTAAGATGAAGTCTTATAGAATTGAAGATAAGAAGTTGGCACAACTGGACACTACTACCAGAAGGGGCTTCCACAGTTCAGCAATGTCCAGAGCCATTAATGAAGCAATGTTGAACACTCTGAAGAACCCTTAAAAGGAATGCAAAGGATGTTCCTATCAGCGATGGTTGCGCAGAAGAGATATCACGAAACTATCTCAGACCACATGGCTTCTACATGGGCAGGCTTAACCCTCTTACGGCGTCAAGGTCTTCTATCATCATGTCATTGGTCAGATCTCTACACCAAGCCTTTGCTGGGCAAACAAGGGGTGCTTCTAACCTATTTGACGGGGCAATTCGGAGGGTCAACAAGGAAGTAACGCAGGACTATAAAGACCAAATGCTCATTAGATCGGTCCAGACAATGAACTCTACGTTCAGACAGTCCATGCAGAGACCCAGATTAATGCAAGTTTGCGGGAATTTAGAAGGCAAAAGATAAGAAACTCAGACCAATTAGAGGGTCGAGATCATCTTCCTTTCATAGACCAGCTGACAACGCTGGAGGCCGCTCCACCAGAGGGAGAACATCAAGCAGCTCCTACTCCCGTCATTGAAGGATGGGTTCGGGAACGACTGGTCTCTTCCACTCCCAGCCGTTCCCATAAAACCTTCGACTGTGGACGGACATTTAATGACTTCCTGGGAAAATTGGCGATTCCTGCAAGATCCGATCGTGAAGCCTGTCCTGCAAGAAGGTTACCAAATCCAGCTAAAGGCCACGCCTCCTCTGACAAGGTAGCTGTCAACTATACTGTATCCAGAAACTCTAAGGGTCAAGTTGACAGAGGCCATCGACTCACTACTCTTAAAAGGAGCAGTAGAGATTCTACAGCCACATGAGATATCACCCGGGTTCTACTCACCAATACTCAAAGTGCAAAAGAAGAATTCCACAGAAAAGTTTCGTCTCATTTACATTATGAAGGATTTCAACCTACATAACCTACTGAAGCCCGAGAAATTCAAGATGCTGAATCTGCTGGAATTAAGACATCTCGTAAAACCAAATGATTACTTGGCCAGAAATACAGGCCACACACCAGTTGCTGTCAACATACAAGCAGACGTGTTGTCCAGACCCAGCAAACCGTCTCCGATGGAATGGATGCTACATCCAGAGGCCTTCCAACTTAACTACTGATACAGGATCAAGGCTGTCCATTGATAGACCTGTTTGCAACAAGATTCAACAGCCAGATAAAGACGTTTGTCTCGCCAGTTCCAGACTGGTCCCTAGACACTTAACCTTTAGCCTGCTGAATTAATTTTAGCATAAGGCGTTGTAAAGAGGGTGGGTGATTTCAAACAGTTGGTGTGTCATTAAAAAAGGGACAACTGAACCAATATTTGCACATTAATACTAGATTGAAAAATTAACATAAGTATCAAAAAAATTTCCTGATATTTTCAAACACACGTGGGTTAAGGACGAAGGGAACTATAAAAATGTCAATTTTCGTAAAGTTCCCTGAATTAAGTGATCGTAGGTGAAATGACTTTTGTATCAGGAATCTGTTTAGATCGTAAAATAAGCACTTATTGCTTTCATCTATCAATTCCCCGATATCTCAAATATAGCGGAGTGAAAATCCTATTTTTTCATTGGAAGGCACCAGCACGAAGGAAAGGTATGAATTATAACAGGAAAATATCGTACGCAAAGTTTTGTCAAAATACATTTGTATTTTCGTGGTGATCGTGTCAATTGCTGAAATGACCATATTTAGTTTATTTTAATGTGTCATGCCATACAAAATGCAGGACATAATAAAAGACGTTTACGCATGCTACAACTCAAGTTTCAGGGGGTTTGGTTCCATATATTTCATATTCAAGCAGATTTACCGGTCTCATAGTGCAAGCAGACGAATCAAAATCAAACAGGGCACGCTTCGTTGGACACAACTTCAAATGTTGCTTTTTAAACCCCAGTAAAGTTGATATTTCATTCGTATATGTGTTATCGAACGAAAGCCGGTGATCTCCTTTGTCGGTGGGTGTTTGCATTGCTATTTTCAGTTTATTAGTACGCTAAATAAACGGTAAGAAAGATCACTCATTCGTTGGTTTCTCATTACTTTTCAACTCGCTGTGCGCATGCGCAGAGCGTGTGAAAAATATCCACTGGCATGCTTCCGGTTTAGTCGTATGTTTATCGATAGTGTAAATGCACGGTAAATAACAGTTGTTATGAAAATGATTTACGTTGTGACAACTGTTCATAGCTGAGTACATACTTCCATTTGCCTCTGCTATTCAATAATTGATGTCCTATTTTGGTTGCAATTCCATCAGAGATGTGTTTGTTTAGACGTGAGAAGGGGATCTGTGAGAAGGACGAGATGTGTTTATACAAGAGCTTGTTAACATAACTTAAGCTATTTATGTAACTAATCCCGGCCTCTGTTTCATAAATCAACTGGGATCAGTTGTAT